TTTCGAACAAGAATATTGCATCATTCCACTACCCTTTAGAATTGAGATATATTTCCTAAACAAGAAGCCTCCTTCACCACACCGGGTTTGCGGTTATCGATTGCTAAACGAGCTAAGCTTGGAGCATTGAGTTAGCATCGTTAAACAGTTGAACGAAGCACAAAAGGGAACCACAATATCATCATTCTGTGCTCCTAATCCAACAGGTCTACCCATCTCATAGAAAGAAGGGACGAAAAACGATATACAAACCGATCGATCTATTCAACAGATGAGCAAATGTAGAGCTAAAATCAAACAAAACCAAGGAAGATAACAATCAAATCACATCCAAATCCTCGGCTGTAACCGTCGAAGCCCACTACTAAGCAGATACTGTCCTCTTTAGGATTTCCCTTTCGGGCTTCCCCTCAAGGTTTTTAAAACGCATCTGCTAGGGAGAAGTTTCCATACCTTTATAAAGAATGCTTCGTTCCCTTCTCCAACTGATGTGGGATCTCACAATCCACCCCCTTCGAGGCCCAGCGTCCTCGCTAGCACACTACCCAGTGTCTGACTCTAATATCATTTGCAACAGACCAAGCCCACCACTAGCAAATATTGTCCTTTTCAGGCTTCCCCTTTCTGTTAGAGGGGAGGTTTCCACACCCTTGTAAGGAATACTTCGTTCCCCTCTCCAACCGATGTGGATCTCACAATCCACCCCCTTTCGGGGTCTAGTGTCCTCGTTAGCACACCGCTCGATATCTGGCTTTGATATTATTTGTAACAGCCCAAACCCACTGTTAGCAAATATTGTCCTCTTCAGGCTCTCCCTTTCCGTCTTCCCCTCAAAGTTTTTAAAATGCGTCTGCTAGGGAGAGTTTTCCACACCCTTATAAAGCATGCTTCATTCCCCTCTCCAACCGACGTACCATCTCACATCAGCTCCAACGTTCTCGAAACGAAATAGAAAAGGATGAACAAAATCTAACCCATCCCCACTTTTGGGATATCATCTCTACTCCTACAAAACTATGAAACTAATCCAACCAACAGATGAACAATCTCACAGCTAAAATCAAAACAAAACCATCACAAATATCAATCAAATTCAAAAACCATCAAATCAATAACCAAAACCACAGCAAAAGCAACACAAAAGCCCAAAAGTTCATAAAATCAAAGGGAAAACATGAAGAAACTCTCACCAATCCCCTGTTTTGGGGTGCCTACTCATGGATGGAACCTCAAAAGTTGGAGCCAAATCCATCCCCTTATAATCCTTCTTCTCCTCATCGGTGCAACTAAGCAACCGGGTGATCGGCCCTGGTTGCTTCGACTTCCTGAAGCTATTCATCAACCCAACCGTTTGCCAATCAAAGTAATCCTGACACTCCACCGAGAACAGAGTATGAATCCGCCACGACGCCGCCACGCCGGAGCTATTACTCCTCCCATCGCCAACAACAAACTCCGCCAAAAAAATCGCCACAAACACCAAGAACTCCCTCATTTTGGCTCAATCCAATCCCGGATTTCAATTAAGTATCGGTTTTAGAGATCTGGATTGCATTTCGCGGATCACAGCATCAGGTCAAACTTCAAATCTTTCTAACTCTTTTTTTGGATTTCTTCGACATGGAGAAGAGGGAAACGATGTAATAAAATAATTTAGAACAAAAATCTATAAAATACAACCTGTTTTTTGTTCTTCAATTTCGACTGGGTTATGAATTTGCTTCTCTGATCGGAGCATGGGGGCTCTTGGGAATGGTTCTTGTAATCCAACTACCATTTCCAGGTAGCGCTTCTCTTCCGGGGTAATTATGGCCAACACCCACTACGAATTTCAATAAAAATTTAGTTTAAGCGTTAATTTTCGTTGAAATTTTGTTAATTTCACGCTAAATATATGTTTTATATTCATTACACATTATAATATTTTCATTAACTTTCTATTTTTATATAGAAACTTCCAAAAAAAAAAAAAAAAAAAAAAAAAAATTTA